AGCAGACTCGCTGGATTTGAGAACTGTATGCGGGCAAGTACATTTCTTTACTTCCTTTATGCATCATCCTTTTGCTGCTCAGCTCTGCCCCCTTACCTCCTACTTGCCATCAGGCTCTCCCCACTTGTTGTGACTGTGGCCTTTTTTTCTGCGCAGCCTTCTTGTTACGGCCATCGATCTGCTGTGCTGGTTTTGGCTGGGGTAGAGTTGATTTTCTTCATGGAGTGTGGTATGGGGCTGTGTTCTGGATTTGTGCTGAAAACAGTGTTGGTAATACAGAGATGTTATTGCTGAGCAGTGCTTGCACAGCGTCAGGGCCTCTTCTGCCTCTCACCCCACCCCACCAGCGAGCAGGCCGGGGGTGCACAAGACGTTGGGAGGGGACACGGCCAGGACAGCTGACCCCGACTGGCCAAAGGGGTATCCCATTCCATATGGCATCATGCTGAGCATATAAAGCTGGGGGAAGAGGGAGGAAAGCAGGGGGACATTTGGAGTTACGGTGTCTGTCTTCCCAAGTAACCGTTACACGTGACGGAGCCCGGCTTCCCTGGAGATGGCTGAGCGCCTGCCTGCCGGTGGGAATTGGTGAATGAATTCCTTGTTTTGCTTTGTTTGTGTGCGCGGCTTTTGCTTTACCTGTTAAACTGTCTTTATCTCAACCCACAAGTTTTCTCACTTTCAGCCTTCCGATTCCCTCCGCCGTCCCACCCGGGGGGAGTGAGCGAGCGGCTGTGTGGGGCTTAGCTGCCGGCTGGGATTAAACCAAAACATCTGCACAAGAGAGCTCATAGGCTCTACTGCACTAAAAAGCCAATTTCATCACATACAAGGAAAGATACAAATAGCAAGAAAAAAAAATAATCTGTGCAGCTTGCGGAATTTCAGTATTTTCATTCACATCGTGATCTGCTTTACCTGACTGACTTGAGGATCCATCTGTTGTGCTGACATGTTTTCCAGCAGTAATGACTATTGTAAGCTTCCTTCAATTCCCAGCATATTTCTTTCCTGTTTCTGCAAGTACAAACATTGCTTTGTAACTCTCATTCTTTCAGCGGCGCACGCTACACCCTAGGTGTCACAGTAATACAAATAAATACTCATAATGAGCATCTTGGGGGTCAAAGAAAAACTGTGTTTTCTGAACACATTACCCACGCTGTGGATAAGGGATGGCCGAAATGCTGGGAACTACCCAGAGCAAAACCACACTAAAACCCCCAGAAGTATTTTAGGAGCCGTGGGGTCTGGCGGGGGAGATCGCCCTTCCCAAGGTATACAACCACCCAAGCAGTGAATTTAGCTACTTGCCTCTGGTTCCAGCCCCAGGACCTGCAGTCACCTCACATGCCGCAAAAATATTAACCTACCAAGTTACTCGTGTAAATAGGAGGGAAAAAAATGTCGTAAATCAGACCTTTCCTCCGGCTGTTAATCAAACAATGTGCTACAGCCATTTTATCACGTTGTTCCACAGGAACGTCCCTGTACACACCACACAAGCCAAACCATAAACCACAGTGCATAAAAAACCCTCTTACCTCTACACAATAGCTTCTTATCATAGGCAAAACCAGACATCTTCATCCTTGCAACGAAACCTAGCCACTTCTAAGGCAAGAAAAGAAAAAAGAACCCAAAAAAGCCACTTATATCACAGAGCAGTGTGAAAGAAAGACTGGGCCAGTATTTTTTTTTTTTTTACCAACTAAAAGCTTTTTCCATAGTTTAGGCACATAGGCTATACGTATCTAACGGTATTTTGCCTTTTTTATCTCATATTACTGCAGATGGAAGAAGCGCAGTTGATCCAGGACTGGGCAGCAGACTGTATAGCGAATACCGTATTTTTAATGTCTGCATTAAAAACAACTTTTTCCTCCCTCCTAGCATTAACTGGTAAGTTTGAGGCTTTTATTTAGGTTAGCAGACGTAGCCTTTTGGAAAGGTATCAATATTGTATTGTTATCCATAGAAATTACAGTTTTTAAACAATATTTTGAATTTGAACACATTCATGGCGAGTTCTAGCAGATCAGTAATCATTTGAATCTTTTATTCTACTTTCTTTTTTCTCCAAAACGGCATATAAATTATACATTTGAGTTAATATGCATCCTCTGAGGAGGCCATTAACTCAAAACATCCTTGCCACAACTAGCTTTTGTCTGCTATGAATCGGTTTTGCTGTTTTTGATCAGCAGTAGAAGTGGTAGTAAGCCTGCCCAATTAAAAGCAAATCCCAGCCAAGATAAAGATTCGTAAGAAAAGCAGATGCCAGGCAAAACCGGTTTTCTTTTTTTGTGCTGTCCACCCCCCAAAACACTTCTTGATGATCCCCCATAACCTTCCTCTTCCGTAGGATGCTCTGCTTGAGACAGCCCTCAGCTGGTCGGCTTGGGCCGAAGCTTGCCAGCTCTGTGTCTGGGATAAGCTGGAAGCCTTAACTCCCCGCTTTTAACAGCGTTAACATCATTTTTTGAAGGAAGCAGCATATGATTTACTGTCACCAAACCCCTTTAAAGCTTCCAGGCACAGTGAGTTAACTTGATAGGAGGTTAGTTTGTGCCACTCTATGTCCCCAGCTGGCATTGAACTATCGCTGCTACTTAAATAAACAGCAGATTTCCAAATCTGGATCGTTTTGGTTGTGTTGATTGCTCTCTGTGAGGACTTTAGAGGTATCACCTGAAGTATTTTAAAGGTCTAATTAGTACCCGAGTGTCACCTTCCTGAGCATCAGGTGAATCACTTGATCATCTCCCAGAAAACATTCACTATTTAGGAATGATTTATTAGGACCCTCCTGTTACCTTTGTTTAAGGGGAGGAGTAAGACAGTAAATTTGGAGGGATCAGTGAGCCCTGAAGCATATGCTGCCTGTTCTATTTCACTATTTTTATTCCTGAACAGACAGAAAACACCCTAGTGTATACAGTGACATGGTTTTGCTGCCTCACGTTTATCGTGGACATCTGAATGTTAAATTATTAAGCTGGCAGGTATTCAGACTCTCATCTGTGCTCCTGAATATAAGCGGCCCCATATCGAGAGCAGCACCAGGCCTACGTCTGCAGCGGGCAGCTTTGCTATTTCTGGTCTTACTAATCGCACTGCAGAACATGTTTCACCATCTATCCCCATGATTTGCAGCCCTGATTGATAGAAAATTCTTTTTCACTCACTGTGTCATGACTGACAAGAAAAGAAATAGTTTCAGGTCCTTTTGTCTAGAATTGACTTCAGGCTATCAGATAAACACACCCTCCAAAATACCTCGTTTTTCCCAGCTGAGCTCTGGAAGAGTCAGTGAAACGTAGTTAACGTGCGCCGCGCGGTTACGCGACGCTTTGCCAAGGAAGCGGGAGAGGTGTTATTTCAGTGCTATGGCTCATTGCACAAAAACACTTAACAGGCTCTCCCAAGAAACGGCACTTTCCATCCGCTTCGTGGCAAGCGGAGAGCATAGCCCCTGGTGGAGAATTGCCCTCCTCCCTCCCTCTTACACGCTCGCCCTTCGCCTGCAAGGACGGCGGCAAAGCAAACAGCCAGGCCTGCTTTAGGAAAGCCCCAGGTACCGGCTGCTCTCCAGGTCACTGCGATAGTGCCCAGGAAAGGTCCATAGCAAAAAAAAAACTCCCATTAGCACCGGAAAAAGTAGCAGCTTGATGGCCTTTGTCCTTACTGAAGGGGCCTCCGGCATCCCAGGGTCCCAGACAGTGACTGAGTGGCACCCACAGCAGCAGGTTACCAAAATGCTACTTTTCATTGCCTTTTTTTTTTATTATTATTATTCTTTTTCACACTTGCCTTCCTCCTGGGCAGGTCCCTTCACCTCTCCCTCGGGGCTGGTGCACCATGCTGCTGGCAGCCACTATCTGATGCCCCCAGGGCACTTGGGCCATGAGATGAGATGAGATGAGTTGGGTTGGGTTGGGTTGGGATGGGATGGGATGGGGCAGGTTGGGGCAGAGCCTCCTGGTCCCCCTCCTTTCTCACCAGCAGCATTAGCACCCACGCCCTCACACACCTGCAGGTTAATTTTGCATGGCTGGAGGTTGCCTGAGGTTAATTCTGCGTTACGGTGGCAGGTGGTGAGCCAGCACAGGACTTTCCCAATAGCTCTGAACTTCTATCAGGAGGTGATATTTCAAAGCGGGTAAAACTCCCAAAGCACTGGAAAGAGCAAAAGCCCAGCGGCCGTGCTTGCCAGAAACAGCCGTGCGGCATAAGGAGGAGGGCCACCGCCGGAGGAGGGGTTGCATCCCTCCTTTTCTGCCCGTGAAAGCGGGGCCAGGCTGCAGGTACCTCGGCAGACGCTGAGGACCCCGGGGTGCCTCCCTTGTGCTGGCTGGTGGCAACGGCCTGAGGGTCCCTCCCCAGCCGCTGGGTCAAATTCCTCCCTGGTGTAAGCTGGTGGGTCTCCTTGGGCAGCCCTCCTCCCCTCCCCGGCCCGGCGATTATCCAGTAAGCTGCTCACGTCAGCTCGCTTTTCATAAAAGCATCTCTAGATTTCAGGCTGGGGTTTATTTATTGAGTTTCTCTGGACTTTTCCTTTCTCCTTCCCTCCTGCCAAGGCTCGGAGATGGTAAAAGCCCTGGAAGTAAATAGAAAATGCCAGGCTTAGTTTTTTTAGGTCACTGTAAACTACACGCTTATCTGCTTCCAGAATACATAAGCCACGGGATGTCATCTCGGGTCAACACAGAGGGATAAGGACTAGAAAGGTGGTTTTGGCTGTAGATATGAATAAATCAGGATCACGTAGGGGAAGTATATTTTCATATTCAAGCAGCCTTTTTCAATCTCGGAGCCCTCTTCCTTTTTCTTCAAGGGATCCATATTCTTCTGGCAACAAAGATCTTTTTCTGTCTCTGGGTTTTCACATCCTGCCCAGCAGCCTATCATAGGAAAGCACAAATCTACTAAATAGTAAAATGAGGGATTATTTCCACTCATCTGTTGACAGACATTTCTCCAAATTGGATCAAATGATTAAAGGTATTAGAATGACGTCTTGCAGATCCAGATCAAATCATTTGAAACCTTGAGACTGTTTCTCCTTTGCTTGGAAGGAACCACCAGAAATAGTTGTAGGTGCTAATTGCCCATTATTCTCACTAATGTGAAATTGCTAGGTGGGATCTTTGAATATTTTACTTGCCTGAATCCTAACTGGGGGAGCTCAAGATGGAAGGACCGTGCAGTGGCTCGCTTCCCACCATGCCGTTCGGGGGCTCTTCCAACGCCTGAATGGTTTTTCCTCGAGTCGCTTACGCCGAGAAGAGGGGCCCAGACTGTGAAATCTTCCAACATCTCGCATTTCAAAGATGGCAGTGCTGAAAGTCAAATTCAATCAGAAGAAACGGGTAAAACTAGCGCAGGGACTATGGCTCATGAACTGGTTTTCTGTGTTTGCTGGAATCCTTGTTTTTAGCATGGGATTGTTCCTCAAAGTTGAACTCCGGAAGCGAAGCGAAGTGATGGACAATTCTGAAAGCCACTTTGTGCCCAATTCTTTGATATTGATGGGTATATTATCCTGCGCCTTCAATGGTTTTGCTGGCAAAATTTGTTACGATTCTCTGGATCCCGCTAAATTTGCCAAGTGGAAGCCTTTCCTGAAACCTTACCTGGCACTATGTTTCTTCTTTAACATACTCCTTTTCTTCGTTGCTCTGATTTGCTTTCTCATGCGGGGCTCTCTGGACAGCACGCTGGCCCAGGGGCTCAAGAACGGCATGAAGTTCTACCGGGACACAGACACCCCCGGAAGATGCTTCATGAAGAAGACCATTGACATGCTCCAAATTGAGTTCAAATGCTGTGGGAACAATGGCTTCAAAGATTGGTTTGAAATTCAGTGGATCAGCAACAGATACCTGGACTTCAGCTCCAAAGAAGTGAAAGAGTAAGTGACGTAGTGCGGTTTGTATCGTTATTTGATCAGTGTTATTCTAAAGAAATGTACATGCCAACAGGCACTGACTGGAGGGGATTTCGTTCTTTTCCTCTGCTCTCGCTTAATAAGCATCCCAAACGATCAACTAAATTGCTTCCTCCCCTGACAAATTCCTATAAAGTTATCCAGAACACAGAATACAAAGCACTGAAATACAATTCTTACTCTTACTTGGTGCGATGTAAACAGACTTAAAATAGTATTTTCTTACTGTCTTTTACCTCCTTATAAACCCGTATCAACAGGAAAGTACCGGAAATTCGCTATTGCTAAAGCAGATTTCAATGAGACTTACTGAGTTCCTAAGAAAAGACTTCCCTGGATATATACTGTTGATACCACTTTTAAAACTCCACTTTAGATATTGGCAATTAATCAATCTCATGGAAACAAACAGAAACAGTAACGTTTTACCAACAACTCATGTGTTTTAAATCCTTGAGATTTAGAATTTTATTTTTGTATTCACTCAATGGATAGCTTCAGCGCTGCAATAATGTTGAGCGTCAACACCCGTTGATGTTCCTAGCTTTACACTGTGTCCCTTGTAGCCAGATGCATTTTAAGTTCTCTCCTGCGTAAAAACATGTTCAATATATATACTTGTGCCTAACTTTTTTAAACCTCACATGAAAACAGCAGTAGTTTCCTCTATACAAACCAGATTGTTGACCAGAAACACCTTAATGCCTCTGATGTCAGTGCCCAAAGAGGCAGTAATCTCAAAATGAGGTTAGGCGCAGTTAGCGCAAGTGAAAAATAAATGTGAAAACAAATGGACTTTTGAAATCAAAAAATGAGCATTGAGCATAAATACCCACAACCTTTTAAAAAATTAAGCATCGGGGGAAGAGATCATTATTCAGAGTTCTTTGGGCACATCATTTGTTAACGTTCATACTCGGTGGTTGCACAGAGGGTCTTGTAAACTGGAAGCAATCTGCCTTTTAAATATACTGCCTGTGTTAAAAATGTCTGAAGTAATTTTGAAAAAGCTTTGTGTATCTCTTGGGATCCCTGCCTGATTGGTGTAAACGGTATTTCACTTGCGTGTCTCTCCACATATTGTTTTGACTTCTTGGGAGGTCTGGTTGTTTTTGCAATTCTGAACTCGTACTTTATAGTGAAAACTGGTACAGGCTTAACCTACTGCACTGCGGGGTTGTAACAAATATATTCGCTATTTAATAAGGGAGTATTTGCATTGTGAAGGTATGCCCATGGGTATAAATAACTACTTGAAAACATAAGTAGTTCACCTTGCCAGCATTATATGGAGATTTGAGAGACGTAACTTAATCCAGCAGCAGTGGAAGGGCAAAGCACAGAGGGAAAACAAGGTTATATTGTCCTCAATAGATGGTGTCTTGTTTGGGACCCAGATTCACCACAATTTCTTTGCATTACTGAGGCAGGAAATAGGGCATTAAAAATCCACAAATGGATATTAATGAGTGAATTCAAGGTTTGAACTACGTGGTGGTGCACAATCTCTGCTCACATCCCTGCTGGGATGTTCTTTCCCCTTTGAAGTCAATAGCGAGGTTCTCCTTAATTCCAGGGAAGGTGGGCGTCCAACCCCTGCAATGTGATCTTTATATTACTTGTAGAGTGAAGGCCTGATCCAATCTCTCTGAAACCGGTGGAGAATTTACACGCCAATGGGAATTAGACCCAACTCAGGACATGCTTTACATCTAGAGATAAAGCCTCAACTGCATTTGGCATTTAGATATATTTAGGTCATGACTGCAAAGTGGAATTTTTCTTCACCAGGCTGTTGCAACCGCTTCTGTCTGTGACACAACTTTAAAATATCCATATAGAAACCTAAAGCAACTCTCAGATTTTTTTTCACCTTTCTAGAACGCTGGGATTCTCCATGCTGTCATTTTCTAAGCGAAACAGCATTTGTTAGCGTTGCAGTCCTCTTACTACAGTCGTTTTTTGCAGTGCCAGTGGAACTATTTGCCTTCTAAGTATCTCTCATCGAAACATCTCATAAGACAGCAGACTAAATGGCTGTTTATAGAGAGTAACCGCAGTCTCAAATGAACAATAGTTGGGGAGCTCCTGCAAGGACTTCAGGAATTTTTCAACACCCTGTTGCTGAAGCACGTTTAATGTTTTAAATACTGGCTGCCTTCCCAAGCCAAGAATAAATGCATAACCCCTTCCTGGAGCTATTATCGTCAACGAGAAGCCATTAGGTTTGCTGGATCGATGGTCTAGCTGGATATGGCGGGTCTTAAGGCTGTTGTGGATCCTTCTCCAAGCTCAGGTCACCTCCAGTGGTCCCTTCCACCCTAACTATGCAGTGATCCCTCTTTTCTGACTGCCCCTCCTGAAATTTCTCTCGGCCATTATTTACTTTTCTTAAAAATTAATTTCTTTGAAGAAGTGCCCTGAGAGGGGCATGTTTCCATCATGAGGAGTCAATTATAGACTCAGTGTAGCCTTGACACAGAAAAGGATTTCAGAGAGAGGGAAAACGCGGGGGCAGGGGGGGAAATGCTGGGATAAACAGAGGATGCAGAGAAATGGCGTGGCCAGGAGGCACGGTGGGAAATCTGTGTTGCGTTTGCTTTCCTTTCTCGCGCAAGTTTGCTCCAGGGTATCTTTCTACGTGTGTGCGCGTGTGTGTATTCATGCTTCCTTCTGCCCTCGCCCGTAGTCGTATCAAAAGCAACGTGGACGGACGGTACTTGGTGGACGGCGTCCCCTTCAGCTGCTGCAACCCCAGCTCCCCGAGACCCTGCATCCAGTACCAGGTCACCAACAACTCGGCTCACTACAGCTACGACTACCAAACGGAGGAGCTCAACCTCTGGCGCCGCGGCTGCCGGGAAGCCCTCCTGCACTACTACAGCAGCATGATGAGCTCGATGGGCATCGTCATCCTCCTCGTCTGGCTTTTCGAGGTAACCCTCTCCCCCCAGCCCCGCTTTGCTGAGGCGCCGGCTCCGAAGCGGCAGAGTGGACTTCTCAGTTAAAAATCTATTTGAAATAAGAAAAATTATTTTAAAAAGTATTTTAAAAAAAATGGTCCATTGCCGTTCTTTGGCTGAGAAAACATCTAATAGTGAGCACCTGCATCAGGCCTGAAAGGTCCCAGGCTGGAGACACAGCTGGGAAGCGTGGGCATGGGGTGGGGGTTAGATTGCAGACCCCCCCTTCAGAGCCAGGGGCCAGAGCATCGAGCGTTCCACAGCGAGAGGGGAAAGAAGGACTGATTCAGTGCCAGACGCAGGGTGCTGAGCAGG